TCCCCTCTCTCTCTTTCCTCTCCCTTCAATCCAATTACATCAATTCTTCGTTGTCCGACTCCTCTTTGAGCTCCTGCACTTCTTTGGTTCATTTAGACCTCTTCACCAATGATTTGGTTGGGCCATTGCCTTCTTCTCTCGCCTCTCTCCCTCTTCTTGAGTATCTCGACGTCGGCGCTAACAACTTCAGCGGGCCGATACCGGGCTCTTTCGGGCTTTTCCCCAAGCTTAAGGTTCTGTCTCTTGTCAACAATTTGCTTACTTCCACGGTGCCTGCGGCTCTTGGCAACATCTCCACTCTCCAGCAGCTCAACATCTCCTACAACCCTTTCGCTCCTGGTACAATCCCTGTCGAGCTCGGCGATCTGTCGAATCTTGAGAACCTGTGGCTCGCTGGATGCAGCCTCATGGGCTCGATTCCGGAGTCGTTGGGAAAGCTTTCCAGTCTGAGGAATCTGGATCTTTCCTCCAACAATCTCACTGGGTCGATACCGAAATCGATAGCTAACCTCTCTTCAGTAGTCCAGATTGAGCTCTACAGCAACTCGCTCTCTGGTGTTTTCCCTTCCGGGTTTTCGAAGCTTGACAGCTTGCGGAGAATCGATGCGTCGATGAACAGATTGGAAGGACCAATACCTGAGGACGTCTTCGATATCCGGAGCCTTGAGAGCTTGCATTTGTATCAGAATTACCTCACTGGCGGCATTTCGCCTAATGTTTCAAAGCTCAATAATCTGGCGGAGCTGAGGCTGTTCGACAACAAGTTAACGGGCACTCTTCCTGCAGATTTCGGCAAGAATTGCCCGCTAGCGTCGCTGGATCTCTCGTACAACCATTTTACAGGGGAGATCCCTGCCGGCGTTTGCGAAGGCGGGGTTTTGGAAGAGATCATGCTGATCGGGAATTCGTTCACCGGCAGCGTGCCCGCTGGTCTGGGCCGATGCAAGACCCTTCAGAGGGTCAGGCTGTCGAATAACGAGCTATCAGGGATTGTCCCCGATGGGCTCTGGGGGTTGCCCCATGTCGGGCTCCTTGAGCTCAGCGGTAACTCGCTCTCTGGCGAGATCTCTGCTTTGATTTTGGGAGCTAGCAATTTGTCTAATCTTCACATCTCACACAACAATTTCAGTGGAAGCATTCCATCAGAAATTGGATCGCTGTGGAAGTTATATGAGTTTTCAGCTGCCAACAATGGACTGCAAGGGCCACTGCCTTCGACCATCACAAACTTGGCTCAGCTCGGCCAGCTCGATCTCCACAACAACATGCTCTCCGGTGGGATCCTAGCGGGGGTTGAAAACTGGAAGAAGCTCACTGAATTGAACCTCGCCGACAATGATTTCACTGGAGAAATTCCTTCTGAGCTTGGAAATCTTCCTGTCCTCAACTATCTCGACCTCTCTGGCAATGTGCTCACTGGGCAGGTTCCTTCTCAGTTGCAGAACTTGAAGCTGAATCAATTCAATTTTTCAAACAATCAGCTCTCAGGTCCTCTACCGCCAACGTTTGCGAACGAGGACTACAGAACTAGCTTTCTAAACAATCCCGGTCTCTGCAAGGATATTAAAGGCCTTTGCTCGAGCTCACTGGACTCTGATAGCCACAGCAGCATTGCTTGGCTGTTCAAAGCAATATTCATACTCGCTGCCCTCGTCCTAATGGTTGGGCTTGGATGGTTCTATTTGAGATACAGGAAGTTCAAGAAGGCGAAGCTCAGCAACAAGTCGAAATGGACCCTGACTTCCTTCCACAAGCTAGGCTTCAGTGAATACGAGATCTTAGACTGTCTCGATGAAGACAATGTTATCGGTAGTGGCGCTTCTGGAAAAGTCTACAAGACCGTTCTCGGCAGCGGAGAGGCCGTCGCAGTGAAGAAGCTATGGAGCACTGCAAAGAATGTCGATAGAGTCTGTGACGACGCATTTGAGGCAGAGGTTGCTACTTTAGGAAAGATTAGGCATAAGAACATTGTGAGGTTATGGTGCAGTTGTACTCATAGAGATTGCAAGCTTTTGGTGTATGAGTACATGCCTAATGGGAGTTTAGGGGACTTTCTTCACAGCAAGAAGGCGAGTCTGCTGGATTGGCCAACGAGGTTCAAGATTGCGTTGGATGCAGCTGAGGGGCTATCATATCTGCACCATGATTGTGTTCCTCCGATCGTGCACAGGGATGTGAAGTCCAACAACATACTGTTGGATTCTGATTTCGGAGCAAGGGTGGCTGATTTTGGGGTGGCTAAGGCTGTGGATGCCATCGGAAAGGGGCAAAAGTCAATGTCAGTCATCGCTGGGTCCTGTGGATATATTGCCCCAGGTCAGTCTAAAATTTCTGTCATCCAACTTCTTGCTCTAATCCTATAGGTACCGTGTTTAGTTCAGTGTCTCTGTTCATGTGCATGCCAGGAATTCATGTGTTCGTCATTTCAGTCTTCTGACATGCATCTTATGTGATGATGCAGAATATGCATACACTCTTCGAGTGACCGAAAAGAGCGATATATACAGCTTTGGAGTCGTGATCCTAGAGCTTGTCACGGGGAAACTTCCAGTTGATCCTGAATTCGGCGAAAAGGACTTAGTGAAATGGGTGTGCAGCACATTGGAGCAGAAAGGAGCGGATCATGTGATTGATCCAAACCTAGACACTTCCCTCTTCAAGGAGGAGCTCAACAAGGTCCTCAACATTGGGCTCCATTGCACAAGCAATCTCCCCATGAACAGGCCATCAATGAGGAGAGTTGTGAAGATGTTGCTTGAAGTGAGCCCAGATGAGAGCAAGGCCAAGCCAAAGCAGCAAGAGGAGCAGGATGCAAAGCTGCTCTCTCCTTACTATTATGAGGATACTTCCTATCAAGGGAGTGCCGTATGAAAAGGATTTTAGTAGTTAGAATTCCGATCGAAGTTTGCAATAGTTTAGTATTTTGGCAAGAGATTGTAAACGTATTATTGTTGTTCTGTTTGGCTTTTTCTTGTCTACTTCTGATGCTAAAATTCCTCTAAAGAAAAGAGGGGTCTGGGGCTCGTTTCGGTATCTGCTAGCATTGCCATTTGTTGAGCAAGAGGTTGCATCATTACAACAATGTATTTGTTCTCTATTTGGATTCTGCAATGGAGTTGGAAGTCAAGAGGCAAAAGTTAAAACTGCAGTCATCAGTACGGGGGACCAGTTACTTTGCTGCTGTTTAGGCAACTATATGTAAGTAATTTGAAACCTTTTGGAGGCCTGCTCTGCCCTGAATAGTTTACATTGGGGATTGAGTATGCAATGTATTTATGGATAAACATAGAATATTGAGAAAGCAAATTTGGTTGATGAAACTTCATTCTTCCTGGAGCCTCAACAATTTTGGTTTCTTTCTTTCTTTCTTTTAATTATTTTTCTTTGATGAAACAAATGCATAATCACAATCCTTGTGTACTACCGAAACAAGATCATTTAGAACATCTAACATCTTCATTCCATCCATAGGAGATCATTTAAAATCTGCTGTGCAGAAAACAAACAAGGATGTATTTTTAGTTGAATCATCGGCATACAGAAGATAAATACAGCCCGACGAAGCCAATACAAATAAATTAACTTTCTAGAAAAGAATGAATGAAACAAGTTAGCAAGCTTCTTCAACTTCCCATTCCTTTCATTAGTCTTCTGTACTTATTTTGATCACTGGACTACATTCAAGGGGAAAGCCGCATAGGCCTCTAAAAAAATGCCATATCGAGATGAGAACACGCCTAAACTATACAAGCAGGAAATTACTTACGTGAAGCAGTTGATGCTCTAATTAGTAGTACGCCGCTGGATGATGACGCTGCTAACTTCGGAAAAGTTTTGTCATGGGAGCCTTCAGACATTATAGTTATGCACGGAATCCCTATTCTGCAAGTTTCAGTTTTTAAATTGTGAGCTTTATGTCAACTTTCAGATAAATCAGCATCTTGATTCTCGCAGCTCTGGGTGCTACACAGAACTACTATCTTCTACCTGAGAAAAATTCAAGGCGATTGGTCATCTTTTCTCGACTGTTTTCTATCAATATCCATTTCTGCACCCATGCAACTACGTTCTGCAACTCAAAACATTTTCCATGATGGGAGGCAGTCCTAGCATCAACTGCGGTCTCATTCACACGAGCATATGCTAACTCATGGTGAAGTGCATCAAGTTTACAGGAGACTGTAGCTGCAAGAACAAGGCTTCAGCTCTGCTGCTGCAGCTCACTCCACAGCTATAATCTTCTCAAACACTAAAACTGTGCTCAACTGTCTCTTAATTGTTGCGACTCAGTACCTCCCTAATTTCCCTGGCTCCCACCAACACTGCTTTTTATAAAAAAAAATTGCATCCATCTGGATTGGTGCAGTGCCTCCGCTCATAGAAGTCGGGAACGTGGGACGCTATAGCCAACCGCGACCCGGGTTTAATCATCCAAGATTTGCATGGAACGCAACCCGATTCACCAACTCCAGTGATCTGATTCACCAACTCCAGCGACCCCATTTAGAATTCAAACTAGTTAAAATTTTATAAATAAACAACTCTTTTGTAAAAGAATAAACAGAAAAAGTGTGAGAAATTAAGCAAATAAAATATGCATACCTTAATTGCAACACGGTTCTTAATGTTATATTACCATTACTTGTATCAACTAGCATATTTTTTACATTTGACTCTAGCAAAACATGTGATTCCTACATTTAAGAACTGAACCTAAAGCGTCCCACATTCCCCTGGTGTATCGTATAAGCCTACCCCCCTCGTACCTATTCCTTATGAGTGGCGTACCATGCTTTTGTACCCATCCTGCGAACCGAAATGAACCGGGTTCCATGCAACTATGCTTGCGGTTCACTTACAACTTGGCCTTCTTTTGGTCATGGCTTTCTACTTCTCAGCTCTTTCAATTATTGTGAGTCTCTAAATTGCCAACTGCTGAACTTGGATCTTCTATTTCTGGGCAGCAGCGACCTCTGCAACAGCTATGTCGGTCAACTCAATAGCACTTCCGCAGCATCATTTGGCTATTTCGTCAAAATTTTCGCATCCAGCCAAATACTTTCCAAAATGGTGTGGTGAAGTATCCAGCATCTTTCTCATGGAATTGAGTTCTAATAGAACAGATTCCAGTTCCTCCATTAGCCTCTAGATATCATCAATCAATGTCAAAATTTCAAGCTCATTGATTTTCACTTCTTGACCGTGCATACAAGGAGAAACTTCAGTGTGATCATGATCTATGCTATCATCCATGAAGAGCAAGGGAATGGTAGCTGAAACAAGTTAAAGTTTAGCAAAGAGAAAAGAACTTTAACTTCAACTGGCAACCAGTATTCTCCAGAGGTTCTCAACATGATTGAACTTTGTAGTTAAGTTCCTGATCTCTTCGTAGTGGAACATATTAGGGTGGTTAATAAGGAATGTCGTTGTTAGGAGAGAAAATAGAAAAATATCAGTAAATACCTTCTGAAATATTTCTTCTGAGAATGTAGCCCTCAGAGCATCTTTATTTATCATCATATGTAACTTTCCAATCAGAAGATTCACATATAACAAAGTCATGAGTTTTCAACACACTAGAGCAATGTCCCTCCAGTCTCCTGCATTTGACCAGCACATTCACAATTTGACTACTATTAGAAACTTTTTGCTTGCACTGGTAAGTCCCATCATGATGTTTCAAATATTTAACCTTTGTGCTTCTCATTTCCACCAAGTTGCGTAATAACATTACACCATCTTCATTTGACAGATACTTAAATAGAATAAGGCCTCTTTCTGATTCAGTCTGATGTAACCGTTTCTTCAAAAGGTACAGCACTGGCCCCTCCAAGCTGCAAGACATTAGGACATATTTAACTACTAGCAAGTAACCCCGGTGTAACACGGGGGAAGTGAAGAAACGACCACTTCATTAGTGGATATAAAAGATTAAATTGCAGACCAAATGGCACCACACATCGAATGCTATAGTGAAAATCAAAGTGTAATGGCATGTCTAAAAGAGCAAATTGCAGATAGTGACACAATATCATCAGTGGATATATTTTTGATACATCCTATAATCACCTATCAGGTCTCCCAATCCTAAAACTAAAAACCCTACTGAACGTAATAAAAAATTTCACCGCACATCAAATGCTTAAATACCAACTCCATATGCGTCTCCCCTCCCAAACCCCATCACAATCCCCCGCCACTCCCCCCCCCCCCAACCATCACGCCTTCTCAAACACTACAACCACAGCCTCCATCTCCTCTACCAAGCCATTATAAGTTCCTCCCCAAACTCAGAATCATATTTGAACTTGAATTTAGGTCTGAACCATCCCCATCATTCCATTTGTTTGTGACCTCCACAATCACAACTTCCTACAAATACAAACCCAAAATGTACCTTACCTCTTCCTCAATCTCAACCTAAGTTGTGCAGATACGGGTGCGGACATGGACACGGGTGCGGATATGGGACATTACAAAATTGTAAAAGTTGGGATATGGGGACACAACTATATACGTACATATGAAAATTAATAATCTAGTTGAGGCCGATATTGTTTTTCATTCACATGTCATGAGAACTAAAATCGTAATACCATTTTTATGTTTCTTTTATCAAGTAGATTATAAACTGAAAAACCGCTCATTTTTGAACTGGATACCCAAATTACTCTTTAAAATCATATTTATCTAGGTATGTGCTAAAGCGAACCTGTCCAAGTCCAATGAGTTGCATAAATCTGAGGTGAAATGTATAATATATGCTCGTGAAATGTATAATATATGCTCAAGAAATGTATAACAAGCCTTTTGAATTTAATTGTGTTATATAATTGAGTACATGTCTAAATAAATGTATGCATACATTCAAGAAGTGTCCAAGGAGTGTTGGATACAAACTGTTGGATACAAACACAGTCTGACATGGATATGAGAGCCTAGATGAAGTGCCCGGATAACCTAGATCTCAACAATTAAAGTACCAAAAACAACTTTAGAGATGCATATGTAGGTTACATATTGTTCATAGACGTGACTTTTTTTAATATATGACATATCACTAGTGTTTGCGCTAAATAGGCGGCTAGCCACTAAGACTGGGTAGTTCAACCCAAGAGTTATGCGTTCTTTAAAGAGATTGCACCCGAGAAAGATAGGAAGATGATCAGACGTGATATTTTGTCAGAGTGTGATGCTTAACTATTTAGCCGAATGCTCTGTATATCAATACTATCTTGCCAAAAAATCTACTCGCGCTACTGTAAACTTAAATGAAATTGCTGCAAAAGGAACTCAAGGATAAGTAAACATTACATTATTCCTGTTCGATAGCAGGTTTCTCTCGGAGCCAAATAGATTGGGAAGCAATAAATTGCAGGAAAACTAAATAACAAGGAGAGTAAATTGCATTCCGGTAAAGAAATTAACTTAAAGATCCGAATTACAACTAAAGGAGCAAATTCACAAGGAACTAAACAACCATGGAAACAACAAGATACAATAATATAAAGTTTGAGTTTGATTGTGCGAGCTTGCTCTAATTCACTGTCATCAAATATGTAGAGGTCTTGCGCGCATTAGTGGACGCTTGCTCCTAATTTTGGAGGTTAACTATCCCACTTAAACACGTGCCTCTTTTAGATTTGTTACTCAACCCATGTATGTTCATGCGCGGGATTCCTTCAACACTTATAACTTAAGGGGCCGATCATCAGAAGAGCTGTAATATAGGTCTGCTTTGTCTGTGTGCCTAACTGATAGTTATTCCCCTATCATTCTAGTACTAGTCATCTTATTCATTTTCATGGCTGACACATATCTTGAAAGTCGGATGTAAACAACGAAAATATTGAACTTGAATATATGACATATCATGGCTGTAATATTTGAGAGCGACATGATGTTATTCATTCAAGCTCTTTCATGCATCATTTGAACGTTCTCCCATCGCAAGTAACTCTACCTGATCTATCTCCCACCGTCAACACTGCTGCCCAATGTTTCTTTCAATGAAGCCACCTTCTTCCAACCCTCATTTCACTTCTGCCATCCTCTGCCATGGCTGCTAATCCTGTATATTGATGCCGCAACCCTTTTCTCTATTGTTTCTGTCTATCGAAATTGCTGTGGCAGTCTTTACTACCTTGTCTAAATGCTAATCTCTCCTTGGGTTCACTATCTGGTTATTTAGTGTTTTCCTAATGTTTTTTCCTTTCTGCCTATCTACTGTTATCTGGCTATTCTTCTGACTAGCAAACAACCCCCGCGTGATGCGGAGGAGAGCGAGAAATCAAACGTTATTTGAACAAATGGGAAACAAGTTTCTCTGACATTACTTCATCTCCATAATCATTTTTTGTTTATAGGATGCAAAAAGATAACAATACGCGCTAGTCTTGATATATTCCCTTCAATTTCATTGCATAAGTTTGTATATCAATACATTCTCTTCAATTCAATTGAGTTTGTATTTTCAGCTTGGATATCTTATCCTACAACGAAGACAACATGAGAACAAAGTGGTACAAAGTGAAATTGAAAACTCACAGACAACATGGGAGCCTAATTTAGATGATGTCGCATACTATTCAGATGAAACTGACCCTACTATCGTTTTTGCCGACTGTCAAAAGTTGGACTACTCAAACGTGGAGATCAGTGTGTCTTCCCTAGATGGTGGGAATGCCAATAGTAGTCTAAAATAATCTAGAAGTATACGATATATGTGGCACTGAAGGATTTGATTCTTACTCTGAGCATGTCATCAAGGATGAACTAAGAAACAAGAGAGATGATTACAATGAGTTAGAAGGCAATGGAGTTTCTGGTGATGCATTGCGTGCCAATATGGATTCAAATGATCATCAGGAGATGGCAAACATAGAGCCTGAGGAGGAGAACACAGAAGAGTCTGAGCCAATGGAGATAGAAGGGTCAGAATCTAGTGCAGCAAGTAGCCCGCCTAAGTGATCATACCCAGAAGGATAATCATCTAGCTAAGTGTATATCCTGACCTTTAGGATGTCCATAGCAGAAATATGTCTTCTAAAGAAATGATGTAATATGACTTTTAACCTATGTATAAATCTTTAGTGAAGCAATGGTATATGTCTAAAATATTGATGTCCCTTTTGATTATTTCTTTCCTTTATCACTATATTGACAATTTCTTGGTTGCAATAAGTAAAAAAAAAAAATCACAAATAAGATACGATATATTATTTATGGTGTTCCTGGTAGTTGTCCTTGGCCTCACCATGATGGGAATGTTCTATCGCATGTCCTTTTGATTATTTCTTTCCTTTATCACTATATTGACAATTTCTTGGTTGCAATAAGTAAAAAAAAAAAATCACAAATAAGATACGATATATTATTTATGGTGTTCCTGGTAGTTGTCCTTGGCCTCACCATGATGGGAATGTTCTATCGCATGT